AATTTTAAGCTTATATTTGATCATAATATCTTACAGTTGGCTAACCATTTGGTAAAAACATACCAAACCTCGAATTAATTCTACTCAGATTGATATATACAAGAAGAAAATGTATATAAATATTATTAATTTACAATAGAGAGATATATTATTAATCTGGTATCAAAAACAGCAACCATAAAGGAAATGTGATTAATGGTATCACATTTAAAGCCAAAATTATACAAAAAGAAATAAAAACCTAGAAGGGTAAATTATAAATTGAGTAAACATATCTATGTGACAAAATATCACTGAGTTATATATAAAATATGATTATAACCATAAGTGGAATTAAAATTAARAATTATAATCATGAAATTCAAATACATAAATTTAAAACATTTAAAGTTTTTTAGTTATAATTGATATGTGAATTTAATGATGTATATGTTAAATATTGAAATGGAAAACATTAAGAGATCATTTTTAATGTAAACTATCCGGGATGCAATTGGTGGTATTACATACCAACAAGTCTTATAAATGTGTACATAATTCTACAGGAATTTTATTGCTAGAAAGTTATAAGGAAATAATCTGACAAATGTGTAAAATCTTTAGTTATAATCATGATTGCTTTGTTTTTTWAAAAAAATCAAATCCCCTAATTGGGAATATTGGTTTTTTTTGTTTTGTTTTGATATTGTACCAGGGATTAAACCCAGCGTCTCTTAACCACTGAGCCATATCCCCAACCTTTTTTTGTTGTTGTTGTTTTATTTAGAGACAAGGTCTTACTGAGTTGCTGAGTCTGGCTTTGAACTTATGATCTTCCTGCCTCAGCCTCCTGAGCTGCTGGGATTATAGGTGTGCACCACCTCACCAGTGGAATGCCAAGAAAGTTTGTTATGGAAGATGTTTTTTAGGAATCAATATATGTGATCCCCAAAGAAAGGGGATGGAAACAGAGTTGGCAGAAGTCAAAATGCAATGCAAACAGGACAAAGCCTTAGCCAACCACATGGGGAAATTTATAGTATCCACATGAGGCTGAGATGGCTGGGCCTCTGTACCTCTACTTTGCTTAGTTACAAGGTTCAGGCTGCCCTGTGAAAGGTGTGAGGGTAGGCTAAGTGGTTCTGTGTATCTAAGGCTGACCCTGAAGGGCAGATATTTATCGCTTCTCTACTAACCACACTTTCCTGCTCTTCCTTGAAAGGGAGTCTGGGTACTTAATCCCCCACAGAGGCCCCAATGTTATCTCCTTTCTGTATATTACCTTTGTCGTTTTGACCATTTCTGTCAGAAGTTAAGAAAAGCAGGGTAAGAGAATTGAGAAGGACARTGGAAAGAGGGTGACTATTTTATTGGAAGGGCTTTGGGAGATGGGTATATTTGAGCAGAGACCAAATGATAAGAAATTAACCATGGAAAGAAAAAATATTCCAGTCATGAGCACAGCAAGTGTCAGAGTCTGTGTGGTTGTGGCAGAGATAAGAATTTAAATGTGTTAAAACATCAAAAGTGAACAAAAGTGCTTAGAATTTTATTCTGAAAGATGTTTCAGAGCAGTTTGGGGATGTATTTGCAACCACCTCTTTGCATATAATACAATGGAGTAGATAAAGCTAAATTACTCATACTTGGTTGATTTTTTTTTTCCTTTTAACAGTGGCTTTTTAAAAAGTAGGGTTATCTTGCTATGTAAGAATAGTATTCAAATGAATGCAAATTTGTGTCTCTGATGAAAGTCTTCTGTAGGTAAATTTGTAGAATTATCACTTAGGCTCTTTATGTTACTTATTAGTTTGATGTTACTGTTTCTAATGCCTTTTGTCTTTGGCATWAATTAAATAATTTGTGCCTAAAATTTAAAAAGTTGAAAATGGTAGATTCATCAGTATTTCCATGGTGGCTAGAATTATCCAGCTGGCTAATAAGCCCACAAGACAGCTGAATCATGAACAAACCCATTTAATTTCCACTAATCATTGCTCATACATTTGGAGACCCTCACTGTTCAGTTTTAAAGGGAAGGTGTGTAAATACTTTTTAAAAAATCAGAACAGACACTTTTATTACCTCATGAACTCTTTAGAACACCTTCCTACACCCCCAGGAGAATTGAATCATCTGTAGGGAAGCTTTACTGTGTATTCTAATACCTTCTTGTTCATCTTTGAAGTCTCGGCTTACTCTAAGTCACACTCATCCTGCCCGAGTCTAGGTTAGATAACTTTGCTGTATGCTCTTCTAAATCAACCTATACTAATCCTATGAGAGCACATGTGCCATCTCATTGTAACTACATATTTGTCTTTTTATCCCACTATACCAGAATATGCTTGGGGGAAAGATTATATCTTCTCCATTTTATTTTCTCCCCATAATATAAGCAAATGACCATTATTGATGCTTAAAAAACAATTCATGTGGTTCCAGAAAAAAAGTTGTGGTAAATTAAATATTATAGCTAGTGGGGGAACTAGGAAACAGCCTCTGTTTGGCTCAAATAACAAAAAAGTAAGGATACATTAGATGCTTTTTAGAAGTTAAGCATATCTTAGCTTGAGTTAACACTAAAATTAGTAGTCATCAGTATTTCTGTTAGGCATACTATTAGATGCCCCACCACACCCCATCAGATTTTGCAGATGAAACTGAGGCTTAAAAAGATGAAAGAATGTGATTTATTCAAGGCCACAATTTATAAATTCATGTTTGTTAGGGTTTAACTATTAGGTGTCTCCCAAAGCTCATGTTTGAGGCAATGTAAGAAGGTTTAGAGATGAAATGATTGGGTTATAACAGCCTTAACCTAATCAATGTGTTAATTCTCTGATAGGTATTGATTGGTGACCATAGGTAGGTGTGGTTGGAGGAGGTGTTTCATTGGGGGGATGTATCTTTACGGTATGTATTTTGTTTCTGTCCTTTTCAGTTCTCTCTCTCTTTTTTTTCCTCTCTCTCTGTGCTTTACATTCCTGGCTGCTTTCCTCTGCCACACACTTCTGCCATGATGTTCTACCTTAACCTCCTCTAAAATTGTCAGGTTTTTTGGTCATAGTAGCAAAAATGCTAACTAAAACAAGTATATCTGACATAAAGCCTTGGTCTCTGTCTCTCAATTAAAAGACGTATCCAGAATAGATGGATACTCTTTAGTACTTGCTTATACAACATCTGGAGTATTGGTTTTTGTTTTGTTTTGTTCGTTTTAGAAGACATATTGGCATCATGAAAAAGGGTCGTCAAAGGGGGGAGGAATCTGAGCAAGACTGCTATGAGGGACAGCTGAAGGCATTATGAAGGGTTTGCTTAGAGAAGGAACATGCTCTCTATACGTCTACAGAAGTTGGAAGAAACCATGGCCAGAGAACAGATGTTACCAGGAGGTAGATTTAGGTTATCTTAAGCAAAACTTTTTAGGAAGAAATTTCTAAAAATAGAATGACAGAGTCAGACATTGTGGTGCACACCTGTTTTCTGTTACTCCAGAGACTGATGTGGGAGTGTTCCTTGAGTCTAGGAGTTCAAGAACAGCTTGGGAAACAGTGAAATCCCATGTAAAAAAAAATAGTAAATAAAAAATAAAAATGACTTTTTCAAAACTAAGGCCCTATTCAAGTAGTAAAATTGCTGATAAAATTTTTGTAAGCATTTTAAATGCCAGAAGGAGCATTTAAACAAATTCGTAATTTAATCACAGCTCTAGAATAAGTGGTAGGGTTATTTCTATTTTTTAGATAAATAGTAAGATACTGATTTGTCCAAGGCTTCTGCAGCATATAATTGGCAAAGCCAGAATGAGATCCCAAGTCTGCTGACTCAAGATCTTGTGCTCTTTTCCACTTTAAAAGGCAGATGACCATGTATCATTAGTGCTACAGAAGAAATGCCCATATTTGGGAAAGAAGTTAGTCTGGATGATTGTCAGATACCCCTCTGACTTTGAAAATCTTTGATTTTTCTGAATACTAAAAATTGACCACATTAGCTTATTCATACTTCTTTTAAAACTTTTCCGAATCCATTTCCTAACACATTTATCTTTAGATTTTGTTTATTCCCCACCCCATTACCTAGTAGTTTCTAAAAACCTTGCTTTGTCTCTTTATATTCCTGTCTTTTTCAGTCCCATACCTGCTCTTATTTAGTGGCTTCTTCTGTTGTATCTTCAAGAGGACAAAAATCGTAATAAACCAGTTTCCTTTCTTTACTTCTTCCCTGGACTGCCCTTCCAATTTAATTTTGCTACAGAAGACACCTAGTAATGTTTATTTGCTTTTATGTGACATCTGCGACTGTAATATCTGGTTTAGTTTTTTTTTTAAATAAATTTCATTTTTTCTACCTTACCTCCTCTAAAATTGTCAGGTTTTTTGGTCATAGTAGCAAAAATGCTAACTAAAACAAGTATGTCTGACATAAAGCCTTGGTCTCTGTCTCTGAATTAAAAGATGTGTCCAGAATACACCCTATCTTTATCTTTATAAACAAAATACCAAGCTGCCCTACTCTCTCCCTCACCACCTACCAGTGCCACCTGTATGTTCTTTGACATTTTTCTTTCCCCTCAGATCATATTCTGCTCACTTATAAGGCCTCCTATATCTCTCTGTGATTTTATTCTCTGATTTTACTCTTGACTTACTTTTTTAAAAGTAGGCTTTATTGTTAGAGCATTTTTTGGTTCATAGCAATATAGAGCAGAGATTTCTCATATATCCCCTGACCAAACACATGCAGAGCCTGCACCATTATTAACATTATCCAACAGAGTAGTAAATTTGTGACAGTAATGAAACTTCCATTCGTACATTATTATTATCCAAAGTCCATATTTAATGTTAGGGTTTGTTCCTATGTACATTATGTGGGCCTGGACAATTGTTTAATGACATGTGTCTACCTTAAAAACATAAAGTTTCATTGCACTAAAAATCCTTTGTACTCTGCCTGTTTATCCTTCCCTCATAACTATTGTAGCCACTGACCATTTTTTTTTTTAACCATAGGTAAATTAACGTGATGGATTTCTCCAAGCTACCCAAAATAATCGATGAAGATAAAGAAAGCACATTTGGTTATGTTCATGGGGTCTCAGGGCCTGGTAAGTAATGTGTGAGATTAAGGATTCCTAACTTTGATTAATGTCTTTTCAGGATGTTTTAGGTAGCGGCATGCAAGTTTCTGTTTACCTACATAAATTCTGTCTTTAAAAGATCTTTTAATGACTGTGGACTAAAGTAATGTCTCTATCATAAGAGTTCATCTTGCATTGATCATGTAAATTTGAGTCATTGAGGTACTACTTTGTGTTATCCTATTTAAGTTTATATTAGGTAAATGTATAACTGGTGTTTATTTTTACCTATATCTTCTATTTTCTTCTTGTTGTTAAATTTGAGGTTAAAAAATAGCTATAAAGTTTATAGCTTTTAGTGTGTAATGCCTTGAAGATAGCAGGCATTCTGTTAATCTATTAATTTGTTTTGAATTTTAATAATTATCTTCAAAGAATTGATAGCAACTTTTGCTCTTTTCACTTCTAAATTATTATGAATGACTATTTAAAGTATCACATAGCTGGCTACCTTTGAGAGGGAAATTTAAGGACTTAATACTGTAATGGAAAGCAGTTTTTTTCTTTTTTTTTAAATTTCTTCTATTTAGTTATACATGACAGAAGAATGCATTTTGACACATAAATGGAATATAACTTCTCATTCTTCTGGTTGTACATGATGTGGAATTACACAGGTCATGTAATCATATATGCACTTAGGGTAATAATGTCCAATTCATTCTACTATCATTCCTACCTCATACCCCCTCCCCTCCTTTCACTCCCCTCTATCTAAAATACCTCTATTCTTCCCTAACACCTCCCTGCCCCACCCCCAAGCCTTATTGTGAATTAGCATCCACATAGCAGAGAAAGCTTTTGGCCTTTGGTTCTTTGGGATTAGCTTATTTCGCTTAGCATTATAACTCCATCCATTTACCAGCAAATGCCATAATTTCATTCTTCTTTATGGTTGAGGAAAGCTCCATTGTGTATATATACCACATTTTCTTTACTSATTCATCTGTTGAAGGGCACCTAGGTTGGTTCCATAGTTTAGCTATTATGAATTGAGCTGCTATAAATGTTGATGTGGCTGCATCATTGTGGTATGATTATTTTAAGTCCTTTGGGTGTAAGCCAAGGAGTGGGATAAATAACTGGGTCAAATTGTAGTTCCATTCCAAGTTTTCTGAGGACTTTCCTTACTGCTATGGAAAGTAGTTTTTAAACTTTATATCCATTCTGCCAAAAAATGAGAATACTGCTTTTTTTTGGCGGGGGATGGCGGGTATCAGTGATTGAACTCAGGGGCACTCAACCACTGAGCCACATCCCCAGCTCTATTTTGTATTTTACTTAGAGACAGGGTCTCACTGCATTGCTTAGCATCTTGCTTTTACTGAGGTTGGCTTTGAACTTGATCCTCCTGCCTCAGCCTCCCTAGCAGCTGGGATTAAAGGCATTGTGCCATTGTGCTAGGTGGGAGTTTTACTTTTTACATAATGAATCTCATTTCATTATTCATTTTGTTGTAGAACATTTCCACTACAAAATTTGATTCACAGTATCCTTAGGTAAAACATGCCCATTGATTTATTATTGTTAATGCCTTGAAAATTCATTTTTCCTTAAATCTTCTTATAAATCTTGTGCTATAGTCTTTTTCTTACTCTAGTCATGGTGGAAATGATTATACTATTTTTGCTATTTATGCAAATGAAGGCTATCGGTCACTGTGCCTCTTTTTTCCTAAGAACTTGGTATTTGCTCACTGGCATATAATAAAACAGTTATTCATTTATATATTTCATTGTTTACAATTTCTTTTGCCATTAAGAGAAACAATTTTCCTCTTAAAGATAATGAAGGTCTTTAGGACAGACAAAGTAAATATAAGAAATTTCAGAGAAAAGAACAACATCCAAGAGTTTAGGTAAAATCATTCTGCAGAAATGTGGTAAACTGCTCTTGGTACCAATCTTAATTCTTAAGTACCTAATAGAGAAATAGCAGTCTTTTTGGCTCATGAAATAGGATTTTAAAGATCATTGTCTGTAATATTTCAATGGATCTTAATTTTTCTTATAGTAAATATAAAAGTAAATATCAAATCTTTGTATATATAACAGGTTAGGTAAGTATTTACACCTTCAGAGTTTCCACTTAAATCTTGCCTGTTATGTAATTCTAATTAGTTATATCAGAAGGCTAAATATTAAGAATGGCTTTATTCCTGCATATTTGTAAAAATATGGCAACTTTCTTTCCCTTCCAGAAGAGATTTTTGCTTACTAGACAACATGGTCCAGATTAGTAAGATTTATTCATTTATTTATTTATTAGTTGTAGTTGGACACAATATCTTTATTTTATTTATTTATATGTGGTGCTGAGGATCAAACCCAGAGCCTCACACGTACTAGGCGAGCACTATACCACTGAGCCACAACCCCAGCAAAAAAAAAAAAAATAGTAAGATCTTATTCTGACTCAAATTTTATAAGAAATTGGGGTTCATAATTGGGACTTTATCCAATGGTGGTGATTAATTATAAACATTGTTTATGAAAAAAAATTGACAGTACAGCAAACTGAGAATTGTTGTGTGCCAGATTTCTGTTCTCAAGACTAAAAGGCTCAGGGATCACTCTAGTTAAACTGGGCTAACTGGGCTGCATGAAATAACCACACAAGAGACACAAATACCTTTTTCTTTGGGGTTGCTGTGACGGCTCCTCTGACCTTAAGGGTCCGCAGAAAGAGGGAGATCGAGATCACTCGCTGACCCCTTTTATTGAGGAGAAACTATTCAAATGAGGCTAGGGGTCAGGTTTCAGGGGGCTGAGTCTATCTTCATGATGTCCACTGTCAGCAGGTTGACTGACACCTGGGTAGGTCACACCCAAGGGTACAGTAAGAGAAGGGGACACACACAAGGCACTTCCATAGAAGATTCTATCCTAAACAGGGCAAGGGGTTATATTACAAAGGAACAGGTGAGCATAGCTTTACCCATGGGGCTGTAGCAAGACACACCCATTTCTGTGACTGAGCGCCTCAGCACCCAGCTGGGGAGTGTAACTCAGTCACCCTTAAGGTTGGCCTCCCACAGTTGTGGCATTCTAAAGCTTTTATTCCAATTTTAATTTTTTTAATGTTTGAAAACCCATTATTACATGTTTTATAGTAACCTGAGTTCATCAGAATATGCCTCAGGATAACCAGGAAAGAATTTGCCTAATAGATGTCAGACATTTGAAAATAGTTTTCATGTATAGTGTATCAATTAATAAACTTTAGCCTAGTTTATTTTGTTTACCTCTTTATGTCATGTACTAAACATACATCTTTATGTGAAACTACGAGTGTGTTCCGTAATGGTAGTTTTATCTTTGTTTTGAATGCATTAGAAAGTCGTGTTATTGTATTTACAGAGCACCAAAGTCTTAAATCATCTAAACAGTCTTTTTTCTCTTCAGTGGTTACGGCCTGTGACATGGCAGGTGCAGCCATGTATGAGCTGGTAAGAGTGGGTCACAGTGAGTTGGTTGGAGAGATTATTCGATTGGAAGGTGACATGGCTACTATTCAGGTGTATGAAGAAACTTGTATCCTTTTTAATTCAATTTCCGGCCACTTTCTGTGTATTTAAATTCAAGTATTTAAGCCAAAGGTAAAAGCAGCAACTACTAGTCATATTAGAAGCAGGAAAAATAGATGTCATAAAGAGTCTGGATATATATACATACACATACATACACATATACACATATTTATATATACATGCATACATACGTATATATGCTTCTAATATAGGAGTATATTGAAAAAAGGAGAAAAGGTGCTAGGAATCAGTACTGTTATTTTAAGGAATTAGTATTAATGTTTTGAATTTTCGTTGCTCTTGATGTTTCAGGAGTTCACAGACTTCAGGGGTATGCAATTGGAATTTTTTCAGAAGGACACATAAGGCATAAATGGAATAACAGTATTGATTTGTGTGGTTAAAATTCTCTAGCCATAATTTCTGTTTAAAATAATAAAGCTATAGTTAAATCAGTTACCAGTCTGTCTTCATTCTGATGAATAGCACTAGGTGACACGTTCCATTACACCTTTAGCACTAGGAAATCCTTATTGTTTGGTTATTAATATACTGGCTTTTAAACAATTTTCTTTGAAAAATGAAGAGTTTAAGACTTGAGTCTTGTGAAGAGGAATCACCTTTGGGGGCATTCATATATATCTTTGTTTAAATCAGCATTAATTATTTGGGTATTTAATCGAGTTTTATTTTATGCTACTTTTTGACCATTCTAAAATTCATACTTGCTGATAACTGGTTTTCCTGTCAAATACTGGGTGCTAATTTAAAACAAAATCATCTGAAAAAATAAATCTAAACAAAAATATGTTTTTTTCCTATTGCTACCTTTATGTTTATTTAATCATTTGAGGGGTCTTTCTGGACATTGAACAGGGCCTCTCCATGCTAAGCACAAACTCTACCATTGAGTTATACCCCAGCCCTATTTAATATTTTACATGACTTAAACATTTAAAATAAATGAAAATAAATACAGTGGCAACCTTTCCTAATTTTGTTATCCTGTACCTTGTCAGTTTTCAAAACACACAACCACTTTAATTGACTCCTTTTATTATATATCCTTCTAGTTTCTTAATTGCACAACTAGGCAAATACGTATTTTTCCTTTCTTTTTCCCCCACAAGATGGCATTTTATGTGCACTATTCTGTATCCTACTTTTTTCACTTAAAAATATGTGCGTTACAGAAGATGTGCATGAATAATGTATTAAATAAAATAAAATATTGGTAAAATCTAGATGTTAGAGGGAGTTTACTGAAAAATTCTTTCAGCTTTGTTTAGGTTTAAAAAATTTCATAATAAGATACTGAGAATAAAAATGTTTATTTTGGAGAGCTTTCTAGAGAGATTCATACATGCTCCTATCCTTCTAGTTACATATAATTCCATCATATGGGCGTATCACAGTTTATTAATTGATTTCTTAATGACAGAAAATTTGATTGTTTCTAATCTTTTGCTTTTATCAACAGTGCTACAGTGTAACCATGGTATGAATTCACAGAAGTTGGCTCCTAGGTTAAGATTTAACTATTTTTAAAAAAAAGATTTAACCATTTTTAATTTCAATAGATATTGCTAAATTGCTTTCAGTGAAAAGTGGTACTGATTTTACTCTTATGAACAAATACTAGAGAACAAGGTGAATTTATTGTGCTTATTTACAGATTTTACACTTTTCCTTTCAAAGTCACTTCCTTAGTTCTCTATGTTTTTGTCCAGGTAMTATTATCTTTTAGGGAGACTACTGTTCTATAGTGGTGTGTTTGAAATGATGAATTAATGAGAGGCTTATCTTTTAGTTTTAGCCCTGTGGTTCCCAAACTGCAAAGACACTGGGCAGCTGCAGTAAACTCATGTGATGCCCAGAATACTTAAAATTTTTGAGGTTAACATAGAAATATTAGATATCTTGTCAGATACTGCATGAACTAGTAGCTTGAGATAATAAACATTTTTATTATTTTGCTGCATTGCATTCTTGTTGGTGGTGTCATGTCTTTGCAAAGCTGAGTGTTTGGTGGTTGCTAAGCTAAAAAGCAAGTAAGTAAAAGTCAGTATGGAATATGGGTTTCCATTGTGATCGCAAAGTTTGAAAATAGGCATATACATCCTGTTCATAAGAATTATGGTTATTTAGGGCTGAAATTTATACTCTTTTTTTCTTTCAACTGATGCATATTATTCTTGCRTTGCTACTCAGTTGTTTACATATTTATGTATTTGTTAAGTTGTTTAAACATAACTGTTTATTAATTGAAATTATAATTTTTTTGTCCTGGGACACTGTGAACTATTATTGAAATACTAAGGATGCTGTGAATTGAGAAAGTTAGGGAACCTCTACTTTTAAACTGTGATAATTCTTATTGGTCATGTCTTTAAACTTTTATTGTGAGTTTTCCTCAACCACTATTTCTAGCTGGTGTGTCTGTTGGAGACCCTGTACTCCGAACTGGAAAACCTCTCTCTGTTGAGCTTGGTCCTGGCATTATGGGAGCCATTTTTGATGGTATTCAAAGACCTTTGTCAGATATCAGCAGTCAGACCCAAAGTATCTACATCCCCAGAGGAGTAAATGTGTCTGCTCTTAGCAGAGATGTTAAATGGGATTTTACACCATGCAAAAACCTACGGGTATGTCTACGTAACCAAGAATTTCTAAAGTTGGTGAAAGAATGTGAAATGAATGTTTAGTGAACTATTTTGTACTCTTAGTCCAAATAAAAATAGACTACATGAGCATAGTTTAAATTTTTCCTTAAATGCATTGTAGGATTGAAGAACTAGTATGTTTTATTGATAAGTGAAGCAAATTGTTTTTATAGCATCAGAAGTGATTCTATTTGTTTATTTGAACACTAAATGTTAAATGCATTTTTCTCTAGGTTGGTAGTCATATCACTGGTGGAGATATTTATGCAATTGTCAATGAGAACTCGCTCATCAAACACAAAATCATGTTACCCCCACGAAACCGAGGAACTGTCACTTATATTGCCCCACCTGGGAATTATGATACCTCTGTAAGTATCACTTAAACTTTATCCCACAGAGCAGCCCTATTTATATATTATAGTTGCTCCATTTTGATGCTGTAAATAGTCTAGGGATATAGCTCAGTTGGTAGAGTACTTGCCTTGCATGCACAAGGCCCTGGGTTTGATCCCCAGCACAAAAAAAAAAAAAAAAAAGAAAAAGAAAAGAAAGAAAAAAAAAATATCAATCCCGCTTCTCACTTCCATCTACCACCTTCCTATTCCCAAGAGAAATTGGGGATTACTTAAATTTTGGAGGAAGAAACATTTACAAATTTGACTGCACTTAAAACCATGCTGTATTTTTATAGGATGTTGTCTTGGAGCTTGAATTTGAAGGTATAAAGGAGAAGTTCAACATGGTCCAGGTATGGCCTGTTCGTCAAGTTCGTCCTGTCACTGAGAAGCTGCCAGCCAATCATCCTTTGCTGACTGGCCAGAGAGTCCTTGATGCCCTTTTTCCGTAAGTTTGGGATTTGTCCTACAATTTTCTCTCAGAGTTATTATATGTGCCTATCTTTTCATTATCTTTGTAAATAAAGGTGTTATGTGCTTGAAACCATAATAATATCCAGAGTAATATGGTTCATGTTTATAGAGTCAAACCATTAAAAATAAGTTTTTCCCCCATGGAGGCAAACACGATTGTTTATTTCTAAAATGTTCTGAAAAACTAAAATTTCCATAAGAATATCTGTGCCAAAACAATGTATTGCTTTTAAGTTATCTTAGAACTAGTAGACTGGTATTACTGTTCGTTAATGATTTCTAAAATCAGCTAGGTTCTTTATGCTGCCAGCATTATTTCTTAATTTGTAGTCTGTTCTTACTATTTTCTTTTCTTAAAAAATCTTTTCCTTTATTTGTAAATTTTAGTCTTTATCATATCCTGCTTTATTTCAACAAATGACTATCATTTAAGTCACAGAAAAGACTGAAACTGCAAGGCAGGAGCTCCTCAACCTCTGACCAAACCAGTGCACTTTTTTGTGTGTGGGGTGCTGGGGATTGAACTCCTGGACTTTGTGCCCTCTACCACTGAGCTGCATTCCCACCCTCCTATGTACTTTTTTTTTTTTTTTTTGGATTGGGGATTGAACACAGGGGTTCTTAATCACTGAGTTACATCCTCAGCCCTTTTTATCTATTATTTTTGAGACAAGGTCTCCCTAAGTTGCTTAGGACTTGCTGTTACTGAGTCTGGCTTTGAATTTGCAATTCTCCTACCTCACTCTCTTGAGTTGCTGAGATTACAGGCATGTGCCACTGCCTCAGGCTGTCCCTCCTGTGCATTCTTAAGGAATTTTCTTAATTTTAAGTTACTCTTTGAGWTGTTCTTGCTATTATTATTTCTTTGAGATCTCCATTCTAAGTGGGAGACTATTATGCTAAGTGAAATAAGCCAAATTCAGAAAGCTGAAGGTCAAATGTTTTCTGCTTTGTGGAAGCTAGCCCAGAATAAGTGGGGGAGGGAGTAGGGAGAGAAAGAAAGGGAAGTGGGGATTTCATCAGAATAGAAGAGAGACAGATGGATTAGATGAAGGGCATGGAGAGGAAGGAAGAAGAGATGGGATAGGGGAAGAACAGTAGAATGAATCTGACCTAACTTGCCCCTGTACATATATGAATATACTGCTGTGAATCTCACCATCATGTATGTCCACAAGACACTAACTTAAAAAAAAATGGAAGTAAATAGCAGAAAGATCAGTAGAATAGAGGGAAGGAAACGGGGAGGAAAGAGGATAGTGAGAACTACTAGGGACTGAATTAGAGCAAATATATTCCATGTTTTATAATTATGTCAAAATCAATCCTAGTGTTATGTATAACTAAAAAAATTAAAAATCTTCATCCTTTGACTCTTTTTTCTTATTAGTCAGTACCTCCTATTTCCATACCTTTCACTATTCAGCCTAGACTAGACTTAATAGTCTTTCATTCTTATGGCTCTTTGTTACTAATGTAATAAATCTTGTTGTTCCTCTGTATTTTAACATACCACCTAGAAAAATCAATCTAGCTAGCTCCTTTTCTTAACTTTACTCATAGGTATCTAACTGTGCTTTTGGGTAGCAATTCTTCTGCATTTCACTAGTTATACTTCTCAGCAGCTATTTCAAACTATTCCACTTGCCTCAGATCTTTAACTCCACCCTTCTTTCTTCTTTCTTTATAAATGATCATTCTGGATCTTTCACAGAGAAATTAGAAAGCATGAGTTTTGGAACCCCTTAGAGGCACTTGACCACTGAGCCACATACTCAGGCCTATTTTGTATTTTATTTAGAGACAGGGTCTCACTGAGATGCTTAGCACCTCACTTTTGCTGAGGCTGGCTTTGAACTCTTGATCCTCCTGCATCAGTCTCCTGGGTCATTGGGATTAGGGGCGTGCACCACTGCGTCCAGCTCTTTTCTTTTTCTGGAGCTTATCTCCTGTCATGTCTCCTCAAAGATCAGAGTCATCTTCCCTTTCTCTCCTCTCTAATGATAAAAGTCTATCTTCTACCCTCTGTTTCTTTCCAACTTGTCACTACTTTTCTCCTCATCTTCATTGACAAACATTTTGAAAGAGTAAGAAAGTTGTCTCTGCTTTTCCCACTCTCACTGTACTCTGCCCTTTTTTATATGAATCCCTTGAACTACCCTCACTGCTGTCATCAGTCACTCCCATTCTTGATCAAGAAATATATTTTCTTAATCCCTACAGCTTTGAATATTGATGTTACTCTTTCCTTGAAACACCCTCTTTTTTTGTTCTTCCTAATAGTTTCTGTGTACAAGTTCTTATTCTGTTGTAAACTTCTCCCCTTAAGTTTTGGTACTTTTTAGGATTTTTGCTTTTCTAAAGCTTCTTTGTCCTTACTCTGTCACTTACTCTGTCTCTTGGGATGACTTTTATAAACTCTCCTGATTTAAATATTCATCCATGTGTGATGTATAACTAACTATATCTTTATCCCAGACCTTTCCTGACTTCCAGATTTATATATCTACTTCTGACAATACCTTTTTAGTATCCTACAAGTGCCTCAGTATCAGCATATTCAAAACTGAATCCACCTTAATCACCACCCCTTCTTTGAAACTTGTTCCTTTTCTTTGTTGCCTCTTCACAGATGTCATTTCTGTGACTTCTCAAGGACTGATCTTATCTTCCCATATCTAGTTCAGCAAATGCTTTTATTCTGTTTTCTAAATATTTTTATCTGTGTTTTTAATTCCTATCCATTACTGTAGTTAAAGCCCCGCCCTAATTCCTGCAATGATTACATGTAATCAGACTTGCTGTCCTCAGTTTTGCTTTCTTTTTAGGTGGTTTTCCATATGACATAGTGGTCCATCTAAAACATATCTGATCCTGCACTCTTTTAATTAAAACTCTTAATGTATTTTTCATTGCTCTTAAAAAATAATACATATCATGAATTTCTTACAAAGTCACCCATCATCTGGCTATTGCCTACTTTCCAGCATTGACTCAGCCACTCATCTGCCCAACTACTTCCTTAAAGGCCATCTTCTAGAAATATTGGAAAGACTTTTAATTCCTCAAGCAATGGTCTCTCCTGCCCCTGGACCTTTGGGCATGCTGTTCCCTCTGCTTCGATTGGTATTTCCTTTTATCTGGTATTTCCATTTCCTTCAAGTCTTACCTACTTTCAGATCCTCCTGCTCCAAACCAGTGTCAAACATTTCACATTGGATTGATAAATTTCCAAATTGGGTATACTCAGTCCTATCCCCACTCCAGGTTAAATTGATTTGGCAAAAGTATGGAGAGCCATTATGAGAGAAGTATGCAGAGAAATGTGACATGCCTTAGTCTATCAAATACCTAAAAGGTTTGGAGGAAAACAATTTTGATGCATATTAGTTTTATATTGGGAAAAAATCTGTTTTTATAATTAAGGATGCAATGGTTCTATGAATTTTTAAGATAAAACATAATATTACAAAGACTTTTCCTTTAGAATTACATCCCGTTTTTTTCTGATCACACCCTTCCCTCACACACACAAAGAGTGGCATCCACTTTCTGTTGCCACTTTTTATGGAGAGTTTGGCAGCTAAATGGTATCATAATCACCAGCTGATTCACCAGTTAGTTTATCCCACTGGAATCTGAGCTTTGTGAATACAAGAACATCACTATTTTATTGGCTGTTTGTTGTCTCTCCAGCATCTCCAAGCACAGTTTTTAGTACCTAGAAAAAAGTGCTCAGTAAATAGTTATTGAAAGAGGATTAACTTAATATTTTAACAAAACTTTGTTCATTGAACTTTATAGTTGTTTGTATTTTTTATTTTTAATTCCTGTACTGTTTCCCCCTACCCCAGCAGTATTAGGTATTGAGCTACTATACATCCCTAGTCCTTTTTATTGTTTATTTTGAAACAAGGTCTTACTAAGTTGTTGAAGCTGGCCTAGAACTAGTGATCCTCCTGCTTCAGCCTCCTGAGTAGCTGGGATTATAGATGAGAGCCACCATGCCTATCCTCCTGTATTGTCTTGTATTGTCCTGTTTTGTCATGAACTAATTTATATAAGCATTCAGAATATTAGCACCATCTTATTGTATTTTCACACTCCTCTTCCCCAGGTGCCTTATGAAATATACTTGCCCTGTTCTGCTAGTAAAGATGATAGAGATGAATAATGATTAAAAGATATTAATATTTATGTGTGTATATCTTATACGTGTGTTTATAGAATATTTCAGAGTGTTTTCTTTCCTTATATTTGTTTCACTTACCTACTTTTAAATATTTAATAGTATTTATTAGCAAGCAAAGCGATCCATTAATTTTTTTGTTTTATTTCTTTGTTAGGTGTGTACAAGGTGGAACTACTGCTATCCCTGGAGCTTTTGGCTGTGGAAAGACAGTGATATCACAGTCTCTCTCCAAGTATTCCAATAGTGATGTGATCATTTATGTAGGATGTGGTGAAAGAGGAAACGAGATGTCTGAAGTCCTCCGGGACTTCCCAGAGGTCTGTATGTGGAAAACTTCAAATACTATTCTAGAGAAAATACCACATATCAACTTTCATGGCAGTTAATAAAGCTTAATATTGGGTCTGGAGTAATGCTCTTCTTTGTCAAGGATATTTTTAGAAATTTTAAAGAAATATCTATGATTTTATATTGAAGGAAAGAAATTTAAATTTTTYAGTCAGACTCTTGAAAGTTTCTCTTTTTGGTATGGAGGTGAAAGATAAAACAGACAAAAATATTTATGTATGTGAACTTTACATAGGTTTTGTGATCTACTAGTTTCTATTATAGAAATATTTTCTTTTCATAAAATAATAGATTTCATTTATGAAATGGAAATAATATCTATCTTCATAGCATAGCACCATGGTACAGGAAAGAGCAGTTAGAGTAATAAGGAATATTATTTGGGAAATACGGGTTAGAGGAATTAAACATGGACAAGTTGAGGAACCAAAATGTTACATTTAGAACTCAGGAGATTACCTATGGATTTTTTTTTTTTATTTTTATTTTTTTTTACCTCTAGCTAACTATGGAAGTTGATGGTAAAGTTGAGTCAATCATGAAGAGGACAGCTTTAGTAGCCAATACCTCCAATATGCCTGTTGCTGCTAGAGAAGCCTCTATTTATACTGGTGAGTTACAGATTGTCATAAAAGCAATTAATACCTGTTCTTAAACTTAAAGGTAGCACCAAGATTTTCCTTTTGCAGAGAACTTTTCTTTCATTCTATGATACTTTTATATAGTTACATCCTAACTTTAAAAAGATATTTTGCTTTTTTAATCTTGAAAGTAAATAAACAGAAGATATTTATAGAACTGCTCCAGTATTTTTAATGACCATGAAATGATATATTTATACCTTTTCCCATTGATCTGTCTTTAAATATGCTTAGATTATCAGCTTTAAATTATTATATTTTGACTAGTGATATAAAAGATAAGAAAATTGGTGTGTTTATATATTACCTTCCATCTTTACTCCCACTTCAATCTCAACTTTTAGTGTTTTTATTTCTGTTTTTCAGAACTCATTTAATTTGTATTCTGTTTTTCTAACAGTAAGTCCAGTATTTAATTTAATTTAGCTTTAGACCTGCAGCAAAATGGAGTTAATGCTCACTAGCAGTCCTTTGGCTGTAGTTTGTCTGTTTATTTCTTGTTTGGCTAAAATTTGCCTGGAAGTTTCTTGGAAACTGTATTTCCCGAATTCTTGTTTTTTCATAAGTTTTCTTTTTTGTTTTATTTTTCCTGTTGCCTTTAAGCTTTAATAGTAATTTGAATATAAAATTTTTGGTTCAATTATTAATTCTAGTCTGGTGGTTTTCACTTATTGGGAGGAAGATAAAACAGACAAAACATTAATGTATATGAGTTTCATAAATGTTATGATCTACTAGATTTACTAGAGTAAAATTTTTTTTATAGATTAAATGGATATGATATATGGAATTGAATTGATGCCTATTCAACTTTAACCATATTTTGGCTTAGTATAAAAGTCTTGCTTCAATATTATTCCCTTAAGAACTCTTATTCTAGCATTAAATATTGGAGAAATGTCTGAGACTGACCTTTTTTTTTTTCTTTTAGAGTTGGTTTTTCTATTTGCCCAAAGGAATTTCTCTTTAAATTTCAAGTCTCATATTGATATCTTTGATTAATTTTTCCTAAGACTTGGTACAACTGTTCAATCTATTAATATATCTTATCTCTCTTCTATATGTTATCATTTCTTCTCCAGTCCCTTCTCTTTAACCTTTTGTCTGTACACAGAATAAATGACATTTATTCTTTGTGTTGCTTCTAATGAAACCTTTATTTCTAAAATAGTTTTATTTTTCCTACCAGTTCTTTGTTGAGTTCTGCCAGCTCTTGAAACATCTCTTTTTTTTTTTTTTTTTTTTTTTTTTTGTCTTGCTAGATAATCCTTGAGATTTTATTTTGTGGTAGGATGCATTATTATGGTTCAACTCGGTTATAGTTTTCATCTGTTCCTTGTCAGGTTCTTTTGCCAATATTGTATCCCCTTCTATCTTTTTTCTTATTTCATCTTTGTTTAGATATCCTGTGCTTATATTTATTGTCACTATTATTCATCTCTGTGTAGGAGATAGCAGGGTTTGGCTATGACTGTGGTCCAGAGTAACTGGAATTCTTCATGGTTACAGTTTGTGGCAGGGTGCACTTGTGTAACTAAATTATTTTACTTGTCCTGCCAACAGAAGTCAGCAGCTGTAAGGCAAATTCTTTCTTTTCTACCCTGCCTCTCAGCTTTTATGTAGTGAAAATAGGAAGTTCCTACATGTACTTTGTTCACATCTATCTCCCTGCTTCTCCTTGATGCCATACTGGATCCAGGGAACTCCTGCCACTAATCATGTAGTCCTTTGAAGTGATTCAAACAAAGGATTTTTGGTTTTGTTCCTCAGAATGTGTCTCCTTGTTTTTAGAAATTTTATCTGAGTTGTGTTGCCTCAGATGAATTCTTGGTGTTTCCACACACTTTAGTTTGATTTTCACTCATTCAAGTGGCTTTCCTCATTATTTTGTTATAGTGCTAAATGTGTCTCTTACCTTTTGATAATTGAATTTATATGTTTCTTGTTCTTGTTTGGTAGTTAACTTTTATGAGAAGGTAGAAAATTCATCTGAGGCTTACAACTCAGATAAAGCTTTTGACAACTAGGAAACTCAGCCTGAGTTCCTAGACTAAGGTTAATGGCAGCACAGGAATCAGAACATGAGACTTCTTTGTATATATTAGCTTCTTGTGTGAATTTACAAGACAGGACCTGATCTACTGTTTTAGTCAGCTTTTTTGCTGCTGTGACTTGACCTGACAAGAACAATTTTAGAAGAGGAAAAGATCATTTGGGGGCTCATGGTTTCAGTCCGTAGATAGCTGCCTGCATTCTTTAGGGATCCAGGTGAGAGGCAGAACATCATGGTAGAAGAGTGTAGTGGAGGGAAGTGGCTCAGTTGATGATCAGGAAGCAGAAAGAAAGACTCCACATGCCAGATACAAAATATAGACCCCAAAGGCACGCCCCCAGTAACCTACCTCCTCTAGCCACACCCTACCACCCTGTTAATTCCTATCAGGGCATTAGTTTACTGATTCAGTTAAGGCTGTCATAACCCATTGGGGGGACACCTCACATCCAAACCATAACATCTACCATTTTAATATGGAAAATCTACCTCATTTTTTATGTGGCTTCATGTCCCCACCCCCCCTTTTTCTTTCTTTCTACCTTTTTTTTTTTTTTTTTTTTTTTTTTTTGATACCGAGGATTAAACCCAGAGCCCTCCATCACAGAGCCACATCTCCAGCCCTTTTTTGTATTTTATTTACAGACAGGGTCTCACTAAGTTGCTTAAGACCTCACTGAGTTGATGAGGCCAGCTTTGAACTTGTGATCTTCCTGCCTTATCCTTCAGCACCGCTGGGATTACAGGCATGCACCATTACAGGCTGCATGCCCCTTTGATAGCATAATCTAATGAATAAACATCTGTTTATTGGACAGTTGGATTGATTACTACCACAAACAATGCATCACTAAGCCATCCTTATACATGTGTTTTATACTGAGTTTGTTTTTGTTGTTGTTTGGTTGGTCAGTTGGATTTTTTGGCGGGGGCAGTATGTTTTGTGTGCTTATTTCTTTGTACACAATTTCTAAGAGTAATTTCTTAGAATTAAAATTCTTGAGAGTAGAACGCTTAATATAGAGTTATGTTAATCATTCAGAAGGAATAACTATATCCAAATGAAAAATGTAAAGGAAATATACATTTTCAGATTATAAAGATGTTGTAAAGAAAAAGATGAAATAAATGTGAAGGTATGTCATTGCAAAAAAAAAAAAAAAGTAATACTATAGACAAATTTCTGTTTACCCACCTCTACACCAATGCTAGTATTTTTTAAACACTTTCTTATATGCTTATCAAACAATAGAAAGTTAAAGTAATATTACAGTGAATACCCCATCACATACCAGCACCTAGACTGATTAACTAACATTTTAAATATTCTTACTTTATTAGATATCTATCCTATTTGTATTTCTTAATAGTGAACTAGCATCTTTTTGTGTGTATTTACCCTTAAAAGCTGTCTTCTGTCCATTTTCTTTTTGGTTGGTAGTTGTTTTTCATGCACCAAGAATTCATCTGAGGCTTACAACGCAGATAAAGCTTTTGACAACTAGAAAACTCATCCTGAGTTCCTAGACTAACGTTAACGGCAGCACAGGAATCAGAACCTGAGACTTCTTTGTATATATTAGCTTCTTGTGTGACTTTACAAGACAGGACCTGATCTACATACAAGAAGGATTGAAAATTGAAATATTTCTTGTATTAACAACATTTGTTACTTTTTAAAAATAACCATAAAAGCTAATTAGTTGAGTTTTAAGTATCCATATGTGTATGTGATATCTAGATTAGACAAACTACGTTTGGAAATTAATTCAGACTTAATTGTTTCAACACAGAATAGGGGAAAAAATCTTCTTGTTTTTTAAAATGTGTATTATGTTGGGATAGGATAGACTATGCTATCAAATATTACCAAACATTTAATTGTTCATTGTAATAGATGTTTATTTCAGGTAGTCAGGGGCTCTTTGTCAACTAGGCTGGAGTCCAAGATAAAAAGAGTTTTTTAGTTTTTAACACATAGCTTTCATACTTCTGGGTGTTCTCAGAAAAATGGAGGAAAGTCTGTGACTTGCTTCACCTTCATATCCACAAGGGAAAGGGTACAGCTAACAGTCTACTTCATATATTTAATGCTATAAAGTTTTCTTAAGGGTAAAAAGTCAGAAATGTATATCCTAACATTGTAATTTGTAATATTCCTCTCAATTTAGGCATTACACTATCAGAATATTTCCGTGACATGGGCTACCATGTCAGTATGATGGCTGATTCTACCTCGAGATGGGCCGAGGCCCTTAGAGAAATCTCGGGTCGCTTAGCTGAAATGCCTGCAGGTAAGTCTTTGTGTTGCTTATCATGTAAGCAAGACTGATAGGACTTTGGGAGCTGGCTTAGAACCCTTCTTTTAAAATTTCTTTTCATTTTTCAGATAGTGGATATCCTGCATATCTTGGTGCACGTCTGGCTTCTTTCTATGAGCGAGCAGGCAGAGTGAAATGTCTTGGAAATCCTGAAAGAGAAGGAAGTGTCAGCATTGTAGGAGCGTAAGCACCCAAATAGTTTACTTTTCAAAAGCAAAAAGATTTAAAAGAGAATATATTTTTACTTTCTCTGGTAGCAGTGATTCTTAACCAGGGCTGCATTCCGTTGCCACAGAGCTTCAAAGTAGTTCTTTGAAGATGTACAGGTCATCTCTACATGTTCGGACTCTATAGTTGTACGTTCACTGATGTATTGTATTTGAGTCACAGTATTTTAGGAATAACTTAAAAAATTATAGACATGGTGAAATTAAATCATGGTAAAAGCAAAGGAAAGCCAGACATGGTGGCACATGCCTGTTATCCTAGCAACTAGGGAAGATGAATGAGGCAGGAGAATCACAATTTTGATGCCATCCTCAGCAAYTTAAGCCCTAAGCAACTTGGCAAGACCCTGTCTCAAAATAAAAGGGTGGGGATGTTGCTCAGTGTTTAAATGCTTCTGAGTTCAATCCCTAACACCAAAAATCAATAAATAAATAGTAAAGATTTTATGATTTCTACATAAAGCCATACTTAGTTCTCCAGCTTTTCCTTCCTTCCTGTTCATCTGTTTGAATAGAATAATGAAATTGATTGTAATAAAAGATCATCTTATTTCTCACACTAGAAGGTGTTCAATAATTCATTGTTATCTGCGGTGTAGTTCTAGCTTTTAAGATTTTTATGTAACATTTTTCTTTCCAAGGATCGTTTGTTTCTAATTAGAAATAATTTCTAATAAAATTTCCAATTTTATTTATGTTAAAAAGTTAGGGCTTGAATTACAGCCCAGTCATACAACTTGTGTTTATCTTTTGTTCAATTTGTTTTGGTATTGGGTTCAATCCCCAACACCAAAAATAAATAAATAAATAAGCTTTTACTTAAAAATTGACTTTCAAAAAATTTGGCTTTCACGTGTTATTTTTTTATAGCATTCTGCTGACTATATCATTATTATTATTTTTTTATTCTAGAGTTTCTCCACCTGGTGGTGATTTTTCTGATCCAGTTACATCTGCTACTCTTGGTATTGTTCAGGTATGTCCTTCCATAGTGTATTTAGTTTCTGAGTCTTTCCTCCTGTGCTGTTCTTCTTAGCTGTTCTAACACTACTTAAGTCATCATGTAAAATTTAATTTAGTCACTAAAGAGAAAACAGTGGTAAAGTATGTTTTAGAAATATCTTTAACATCAAGAACCTTTAATACTGCTTTTCCTTAGCTCTTTTACCAGGTTTTATATTAAACTTAATATATTCATGGACAATATGCACAGATAACTGTAACTATAGGGTCCAAACAGAAAGGTCAAAAACTGTGTAATGGGGGCTGGAGTTGTATCTCAGTAGTTGAGTGCTTGCCTCATACGTGTGAGGCACTGGGTTCGATTCCTAGCACCACATTAAAATAAGCATTTGTTGATGGACCTTTATGATGAAATAAAGGTCCATCAATAAGTTAAAAAAAAATTAATTAAAAAAATAATTGTGTAATGACAAAAACCTAGAAGTTTATTTTAACTCAAAAGTATGATCAAGGGTAGATGATCCTATCCAAAAAGGGTTCTGTTTCATTCTGTCGTAGTTGGATTCCATAGCTTGTTCCATCTTGTGGCTCTACCATCACCTCGCCTGGTAATTATCTGGAAATTACAAGGGAAAACTGTAGAGAAGGCACATCCACATTTTTTTTATGGGGGGAGCCAGTAGCTGGGCATGGTGGCACATATCTTTAATCCCAGCAGCTCAGGAGGCTGAGGCAGGAGGATATTGAGTTCAAAGTCAGCCTCAGCAAAAGTGAGGTGCTAAGCAACTCAGTGAGACCCTGTCTCTAAATAAAATACAAAATAGGGCTAGGGATGTGGCTCAGTGGTCTAGTGCCCTTGAATTCAATCCCCAGTACCCCTCCTCTTAAAAAAAAAAAAAAAGTGACCCAGTCATTTCACTCATCTGTTAACTATATCTAGATAACAGCAAAATCAGAAAATATACTTAATGCCTTGGCATTTGCTTCCCTGTGACAAGGAGGATTGTGAGTTCAAAACCAGCCTTGGGAGGGGGGCGTCTGGGGTTGTAGCTTAGCAGTAGAGCTCTCGTCTCGAACGCACGGGACCCTGGGTTTGATCCTCAACACCGTGTAAAAAATAAGTGAGTGAAATAAAGGTATTGTGAATAAATATTTTTTTAATGTATATTAATTTTGCCAAGTACTTGAAAATTTTTTTTTTTTTTTTTTTTTTTAGAGAGAGAGAGAATTTTTTTTTTGCCCTCCCTCCCCCGAGAGAGAGAATTTTTAATATTTATTTTTTAGTTCTTGGCGGACACAACATCTCTGTTGGTATGTGGTGCTGAGGATCGAACCCGGGCCGCACGCATGCCAGGCGAGCGCGCTACCGCTTGAGCCACATCCCCAGCCCGAATAAATATTTTTTAAAAAATTAAAAAAAAAAACAGCCTTAGCAAAAGCAAGGTGCTAAGCAACTCAGTGAGAGAGACCCTGTCTCTAAATGAAACACAAAATAGGGCTGGGGATATGGCTCAGTGGTTGAGTGCCCCTGATGCCTCTGGGTTCAATCCCCAGTACCCAGAAAAAGATGTATGATTCAGAGCTATAGTTAAAAAAAAAAAAAGTTTATATGAAGAAATGAATCATAAGTAAGTATGTATGTATAATTCATGTAGGAAAAACAGAATGCTTACCTGTGTTTCTGACAGTAACAGAAGAAATGGCAGAGGCTAAGTTTACATTTTTTAAAGTCTTTAACCTATGCTAAAATTTTGAGTTTAAATTATGAGGGAAGGTGGAACAAAGTTAGGAATTCATAAAATATCTATGAAGGTTTAGTCTCTGAAACATGAATGTCAAATTTTTATTGCATTGCCCTTTTATGATAGGAAACTGAATTTAATCAGAACATTTAGAGGTTTTTAATCAAAGTAAAGTGTCTGTTCCATTTTAATAAGCCTTTTCTTGTTCTTATGTTTATATTGTACCATAATAATCTTCAAAAGTGTCATTTTGCCTTTTTGCTATCACATTTCACATTATTAAAGAAAGTTAGATAAAATTTGAATTTGACTTGTATTATTATCCACCCTGAAAGTGAGAATACATTTTTTTTTATAATTTTAATATTTATTTTTTAGTTTTCGGCGGACACAACATCTTTGTATGTGGTACTGAGGATCAAACCCAGGCTGCACGCACGCCAGGCGAGCGCGCTACCGCTTGAGCCACATCCCCAGCCCGAGAATACATTTTTAATGAACATTTTCTACAAGTTTATTCTGTTTTGATAACACTTGACACATACTAAAAATTAAATAATTTGTCCAGTAAATTAAACATAACATATTTAGGAAAAACAAATATGCTTCAATACTCTTAAAAACTTTTTAAGAAAATGATTTTTTTTTAATTAGGTGTTTTGGGGATTAGATAAGAAACTAGCCCAACGTAAGCATTTCCCCTCTGTCAACTGGCTCATCAGCTACAGCAAGTACATGCGTGCATTGGACGAGTACTATGACAAACATTTCACAGAGTTTGTTCCTCTGAGGACCAAAGCTAAGGAAATTCTTCAGGAAGAAGAAGACCTGGCAGAAATTGTACAGCTTGTGGGAAAGGTGAGTTGTTAAATCCCATGGGGTATAGTGTTACAGTGGCCAGTTAAAACCTTGGGTATATTCTTACCAAGCAAAATGAATAAATCCTAAACTTAAATTCAATTTTAAAATATAATAAGTTTAAAAAATATTTAACTAAAATGTTTTATTCTCTTTTTTTTTTTTTTTTTTTTGAGGGTGGGGGTACTGAGGATTGAATCCAGGCATGCTTAACCACTGAACCACATCCCCAGCCCTTTTTAACATTCTATTTATTGACAGGGTCTCACTGAGTTGCTGAAGCTGGGTTTGAATTTGTGATCCTCCTGCCTCAGCCTCCAGAGCTGCTGGATTATAGTAGTGTACCACACCTGGCAAATTTTTTATTCTTTTTTAAATTTATTTATTTAATTTTTTTTAGTTGTCGGTGGACCTTTGTTTTATTTGTTTATATGTGGTGTTGAGAATCAAACCCAGGGCCTTACACATGCTAGGCAAGTGCTCTGCCACTGAGCCACAACCCAGCCCAAATTTTTATTCTTTATAGCCCTTAGCATGGTCCTGAGTTTATTGTAGGTGAGAGAGGAAAAAAAACAAAACAAAACACCACTTGATTTTCTTTGGGTTCTTGAAATGAAATGTATCCATCAACCAATCAAACTAGAAATGATAGAGGTAGTGTCTTTAACATAAAATTTTTTAAGAACACTGGGATTGGGAATCAAGGATTGGATTCTAGTCCATCCATTAATTAACTATGGATCTTAAACAAGTAACTTACATTCTTATACTTATGTCTTCGTGTTTCACCAGAAGATGGTGAGCCAGGTGCAGTGGTACATACCTGTAATCCCATTGGTTAAGGAGGCTGAAGCAGGACGATTGCATATTTGAAGCTAGCCTCAGCAAACTAGCGAGACCCTGTCTCAAAATAAAAAATAAAAAGAACTGGGTATTGGTAAAGTACCCCTGGGTACCTAGTACGCTACCCTAAAAAAGAAGGTGATGATGATGATGGTTTAATTAAATGTAGCCTAATTAAATTGCTGAATCAAATGACTTTTCATATAGTATGCAGAACTAGTTAGGACTGTTAGAGGGACTGGGGATATAGCTCAGTTGGTAGAGTGCTTTCCTCATGTGCACAAGGCCCTGGGTTTGATTCCTAGCACCWCAAAAAGAAAAAATAAATTTTTAGGGCCGATCATGGTGGCAGACGCCCATAATCCTAACAACTCAGGAGGCTGAGGCAGGAGGATTGCTAGTTCAAGGCCAACCTCAGCAATTTAGCAGCAGGTAGGGGGGCAGAGCTTGGGATGTGGCTCAGTGATTAAGTGCCCTTAGGTTTAATCCCCAGTACCAAAAAAGAAAAGGTAAGGACTATTAGAGTTCTCCATCTGATTCTGTTCTTTTGATGATACCTTAAAAATTCACCTCCTAATTTTTCCCAATAAAGATAGTTTTATTAAATAACATGTATAGCATGTATTAAATATTTATTATTTATAAGGTACTGTGGCTCTCCGAGATTAACAACAAACAGAAGACCTGCAAAACCAGATAAAGGCAATACAGAAAATAAAATTACATGTTTATTTTGTTTATGAATGTAGATATAAAAGTATTAAATGTTCATTTGTTACACCAAGTAGGTTATTCAAAATAGAATAATGTATCCTGAACAAGTAAAGGAATGCAAATGTGATTCAACACAGTATTATTATAATTTCCCAATATAATTAATGTGACAGAAAAGAATATCTTAATCAATATGGAAAAAATATTTGAAGTTTATTTCTTATGAGTTTTAGAAACCTCTTAGGCAAGAAGGAATAGAAGTAAACTTCCTTAGTTTGTTAAAAGATACTAAGCTGAGGGGCTCGGGTTGTAGCTTAGTGGTAAAGCGCTTGCCTAGCATGTATGGGGTGCTGGATTCGATCCTCAGCACCACATAAAAATAAGTAAACAAAGGTATTGTGTCTATCTACAACTAAAAGAAAAAAAAATTTTTTAAAGATACTAAGTTGAATGTGATGGCATGTGTCTGTAATACCAGCTACTGGGGAGGCTGTGGCCAAAGAGCCCAGAATTCGAGACCAGCCTGAGCAACATAGCAAGACCCCATCTTAAAAAAAAAACAAAATAAAAATAGCATGCTAAATGTAGGGGAAATATTTGATATAATGAAGAATAGAAAGATTTCAAATGCATTTATTTTTTTAAAAAATCAGTATTAAGACAAGAATGTCTGTTATCACTGTGTTCAATTGAATAGAGAGGTCCTTATTAATAATGTTAGAAATCAGACAAATTGTAAAGAGATTAAAATGTCATTATTTATAGATAATATGTTCATATAACTACAAAAATAACAACAGAGGAATAGAAATAATAAGAGTATAAGAAGGAGTTGCGATCGATGCAAGATAAATATAAATAAAGAAAACTTCACTAGGATTAGGAATGTGGTTCAGTGGTACAGTGCTTGCCTACATGCATGAGGCCCTCAGTTCTATCCAAAGCACTGAAAAATAAAAATTCTCAATACAAGCAATACTAATTAAGAAATAAAACTAAAAATAAGATTTTCATAATAGCAGCAACAAATAGAGTATATGCACTATCCAGAAATCCATATTTCTGTTATGGAAAAATATCTTTAAACTAAAAAATGAAACAGAAAATAATCTAAAAAAGTCTACTCTTTTGGATGGATGACTTATTAAAAAATTACCACTTCTCTTTAAAATATAAGTTCAGTGTGATGCTAGTCAAATTTCTAGTTGAATCTTCTGAGCAAATCACTAATCATTCCAAAATCTATTTGCCATCACAAAGATTCACAATCTTTAAAATAAAAAGTAAGGAACTTCCCTCTATTGTTTAATACAAAACCATAGTAAGAAAAACAGTATGGTATTGGTGAAATAACAAACAGTGGTGGGACAGAATAGGTATAGACTTGTGTATGTGCATTTCCTTGATATTGTGAAGTGACTCCACAAATCAAGTGAGAGGAGAATAGGTTCTTTTAGTGAACAGTGGAAAACTACTATTTGGAGAAAATAGAACTGGATTGCTACTAAATTCCACATAGTAAGGTAGACTACAGGTAGATTATCAATTTAACTATTAGAGGGAAGAGGTTAATAGAAAAGAAATATTAAGGATAACATTTTGATCTAGGATTAGAGAAGGACTTCTTAAACAAACCTCATTGAACACATTAAAAGAAAACAAAGGTTTTTTGATAAAAGTAAGAATTTTTGTTCAACAAAGGCTTACCCATGAATAAAGGTAACAAACTGATGACAGATTGGGATAGGAAGTTTCTGACAAGTAAAACTGGTGGGCTTTCTAAAATATTAACTTTAAGTTAACAAGAAGACTAGAACCCCAACAAATATGACCAAAGGAAAGAGAAGACAGATTATGAAAGAGAAAACCCAAAAAAGATTACAGACCTTTGGTAAAATTCTCCAACAACCATGACGTATCACATTACTCTGGTGAGAAAAACTGGGTATTGCCAAGTGTTGTGGGAATGGAGGAACTAGTGTACTCCTTGTGGCATGTCATCTGGTGCTACCATTGTAAAGAATAGTCCAATGGGACTTGCTTGCATGCCATGGAACCTAGTAGCTCTGCTTCTGGATATTTATCTCTAGAGAAATTCTCAAACAGTCCTAAAGTGGACATTAATGATGGTGGGGAATTAGAGGAAATCTGGGTGCCTTCTCCAGGGGACCAAAAAAAAAAAAAAGTAAAGAAAGAACAAAGTACAACTGAGAATGGTTTGTATAAGAGCTAGGTGCAGCAAACTATGTGGCACGTGGTGTCATGGATGGATCTGGAAAAAAACAGTGCCTAAGGCACTAATGAGAATGATTTACATAATGAAAATACTAATACAAAATGTACTTTTCACATAAATTTAAATAAATAAAAGGAAACACATAAAACACATTTTAATATTTACCTGTGATTGAAGAAGGGATATGAGATAGAAGGGATTTAAAAAAAAAAAAAAGAAGGCCCGATCCTTACCTAAGAAACTTTAATACATACAAATAATAGAAGAATGCAATTAACTTTGCCTGTCCCTTTCTCACAACTCCCAATAAATTTTTAAAACTAAGAATTTAAATAACTAAAATAATAAACCAGGAGAAGAAGTATTTTTTTTTTTTAAAGAACATTAATCAGGGACAGGGTTTGTGGGTTAGTGGTAGAGTGCGGTGCCTAGCATGTGTGAGGCACTACATAAAAGTAAATAAAGGTATTGTGTTCATCTACAACTAAAAACAATTAAAAAAAAAAAAAAGAACATTATTCAGTTTGTACTCTCATGTTCATAGCAGCCCTTCTCACAACAGTGCTAGGAGTGAAAACAACTCAAATGTTCATCTATAAATAAATGAATGAACAAAGTGGTATGTTCATACAATGTGATATTATTCAGCCTTTTTTAAAAAAGGAAATCCTTTCTCTGGCTATAACATGAATGAACCTTGAGGACATTATGCAAAGTGAATACACCATTCATTAAAAAAATACTGTTATGATTTCACTTAAGAACTATCTAAAGTAGTCAAACTCATACTTCTCAGAAGAAGAAATACAAATGGCCAACAAACAGGAAAAAAATGTTCAACTTCCTAGCAAACAGGAATATGTAAATCAAAACTACATTGATATTTCATCTCAATCCAATCAGAATGGCAATTTTTAAGAATATAAATAATGATAATGCTGGCGAGAATGTAGAGGAAAAGGTGCACTCATATAGTGTTGGTGGGAGTGCAAATTAGTACAACAACTCCGGATAGTAGTATGGAGATTCTTCAAAAAACTAGGAATGGAACCATCATGTGACCTATCTATCCCATTCCTTGCTATTTATGCAGGAAAAAAACCTAAATCAACATACTAATCAGCATACTATAGTATATAGGCACATCAATATTTATAATAGTGCAGTTCACAATAGCCAAATTATGGAATCAACCCAGGTGCCCATAAATAAATGAATGAATTAGGAAAATGTGGCATATATACAGTGGAGTTTCACTCAGTCATAAAGAAGAATGAAATTATGACATACGCTGGTAAACACGTGGACATGGATACCATCATGCTGAGTAAAATAAACCAGACTCAGAAAATCAAGGGTCAGTGAATTTTTTCTCTCATATGCAGAAATTACAACAAAGTAAGGGAGGGTGGGGAAGTGGGGGGCGGGTATCATAAGCATAAAGGGAAAAGATCATTGGAGTGGAAATAGGGAAAGGGAGGAGAGACAGGAAAGTGGAGAAAATGCAGAATCAACTTGACAAAATTTTGCTGTGTGCATGTATAAATATACCACAGTGAATTCCTCCTTTATGTATACCTATAAAGCACCAATTAAGAATAAATGGATAAATGAATAGAGGGAAGATTAGTAGAGGAAGGAGGATAGGGGGAGGGAAAGAGGATGCACTAGAGACTAAAATGGAGCATGAATTATTATGTCAAAATGAATCCCAGTATTATGTGTAACTATAATGCACTAATAAAAACATTTTAAAAAAATAAATAATGAAAGGAAGACTACTTGGAGTAGATTTGGGGAACAGGAGAAGGGAGGAGAAGAGGGAAAGAGGATGTATTAGGAACTGAAATGGAGCAAATGATATTCCGTGCATGTATGATTACATCAAAATGAACCCCAGTTTTATGTATAACTATAATGCACTATGAAAGATATTCTTACAATAAAGTAGTCAAGTTCATAGAAACATTAAATAGAATGGTGGTTATCAGTATCTTGGAGGAGGGAAGAAGAGGGGCTTACTATTTACGGACATATGATTTCAGATTTGCAAGATAGAAAACTTCTGAAAATCGGCTTCACAACCCTCTGAACTGAACTCTTTATTAAAAATAGTTAAGATGGCAAATTTTATGTTATATACTTTTTAACCACAAACAAGAACAATCAAAAGCAGTCATAAAGCAAATTTATTAGTACATTTCTGTAATCCCAGCAACTCGGGAGTCTGCGGCAGGAAGATTACAGATTAAAGACCAGCCTTGGCAACTTAGCAAGACCTTTTCTCAAAAAGTAAGAAAGGGCTGGGGATGTAGCTCAGTGGTAGAGCACCCCTCAGTTTGATTCCCAGTACCAGGAAAATAAAATTTTTGGTTAAATATAATGTGTTGATTATATTATTTCTGCTTGCTTAACTGATTATCACCATTGGTACCCACATGATGGAACAAAATTTCTAAAAAAAATTTTTTTTTTCTCTTATAGGCCTCTTTAGCAGAAACTGATAAAATCACTCTGGAGGTTGCAAAGCTTATCAAAGATGACTTCCTACAACAAAATGGATATACACCTTATGACAGGTAGGCTATACAGATTTTTCTTTTTGCTTTTTTTTTAGTTGAGGCATTATAATTATACAAAATAATAGGATTCATTGTGATATATTTGTAAATGCACAGACATAATTTTGTCAATTTTATTGCCCAGTACTTCCCCTTCACCTCCCCTTCTGATTTTTTTTTTCCTTATTTGAGGATTTTCTGTTGTGTTTGAGCAAGGAGCTACCTACACATTAAAACCTTTTTTTCCTCACACAGATAAACGCTGACTCAATATATTGGTTTATTTTGTATATTCATAGCAGACATCTAATGGTTGAAATCATCACCTTTTCTTGATTTACTCATTTGTGAAATTATGACAGTATTTTCACTCATACAACCATCTATAATTAGACTAAATTATGGCTTAGTGTGCAGAGCCTGGGGATCATTACCTGCTTTAGAAACTATCTTTGCTAATTCCTTTTATTGCCCATGTCTCTTGTACTCTTCGCTTAAATAATTATGTTATTCTTTCCTGCCTTGTTTGTCAAGAGTCCTGTATCTTTTTCCTTCCACCAAAGCCTTTGTTGCTGCCAGTCCCAGCCCCTTCACTCCTGCCCAGTGCTTGCTTTTTTTCACTATTGTCTCTGCCACTCCTGTGGCATGTTGAAAGTTCCTGTTTCTTTTAAACTGTGAGGATTTGAGCCCTTTTCTCCCAGGCTAGCTTTTCTCTCTCAAATCATATTTGGTTCCACATAAGAACCAGAGAACTAAGCAAATAGGATTAATCAGACCATAGAGCAAGCAGAAAATATGCCAGTATGTCAGTAAGCCTTCGAAATCTGTTAAATCGGGAACTTAAGAAGCTCTAGGGAAAAATCTTTGGAAAAGGTGTGATAGGACTATGCATGAAATTATGTATGCAGATGTCTAGGAATGTGTTAGAAGACTGATAAGGACAAATGTGATTGAATTGATATTTACTCATGTGTACGTACAGTCTCTATTTCTTTGTTACGAAAAGGTATATGAGTAAATGAAAATGAACACATTTAAAGAGAAAGAGGCTACTATTATTAACTCACAGCAATTTGCAGTCCCCCCCTTCCTATTATTCATTAAACCTTAACTAATATCACAAAGGAGTCTTTACAACTCAGTTATTTTCCATTTGAGTTACTTACCTACCTACAAATCTTACAAATACTACAAATCCAGGGAGGGGCATTATATTGTAGCAATATTATTTCATTGTCCCTCCTATTTGATGAATTTACAGACAAAAATAAACATCACCCTTAAAACAAATAAAATAGATATCTCCATATCCATCCATACTAGTACTGAGGTATCTTTGCCCCAAAATTCTCCTTAAATAATTATTGGTCTTTTGTATTGTTCTTCTTTTCTTATGTATCGTCTAATAAATATGAGCAGTTTGCATACTTAAATAAAGAAGCTGATTCCCTGGTAATTTATAGTTAAAGTTTTACATACTGAAAGTATGAACCCACTTTGGAATTTGTTTTTGTTAATTCTTTTGACCTTCATTTACCCTAGGTTCTGCCCATTCTACAAGACAGTAGGGATGCTGTCCAACATGATTGCATTTTATGATATGGCCCGTAGAGCTGTTGAAACCACTGCCCAGAGTGACAATAAAATCACATGGTCGATTATCCGTGAGCACATGGGGGAGATCCTCTATAAACTTTCCTCCATGAAATTCAAGGTATATTTTGGTTCTGCTGTAACTTTTTTAGTAGGATTTTTTTTTTTCTCTCTAACAGTTTGAGTCCCAAACCTGGGGTATGAAACTTGCTTTTATCATTTTCATATATGCTCAGGATGTATATAACCAGAACAGGTCTTGAGGTGATATTCAAGTAGGAATTCCAGTGATAAAAAATTATAGTATTTCACGTCTAAAATAAATGCTAACTATTTCTCTTTTGTCTTAGTTGCCAGGCAATTTACAGCTAAATTCATTGTTGAGCAGCAATTATCTTACTTCAAGTGCCTATTAACATCTAACTCCCATGTTCTTCTGAAATGATGTCTGCGCTATTTACTTCTTCCAAATATCATGTAGTACACATTTTTACTTTTACATGACCCACAAGATAAAAATAGGTAGTTATGTTAAATTACCAATAGAAACTCAAATGTATAAGATTGTTTTTAAAATATTTGATCAATTGAATTGTATTTAATTTAATTAAGTCATGACATTCAGGCATATTTACTAATTACCTACTGAGAATGATTCTCAGCATGTATATATAATGTATAAATTTTTACATAACATATAGAGTATATGTATATTTACAATATAGATTAAAAATATAAATCTGTATAAATATTCACTATATCAAGAATTAATATTCACAATCTTTGGGTCCTGTCATTCATTCCACTTTGAGATATGTGAACCAGGGAAAAAATCAGAGATTATTGTTTTGTTTTGTTTTGCAGTACCGGGGATTAAACTCAGGGTCCTATACATGCTAGGCAAGTACTCTATCAATTATGCCATATCCATAGGATAAAATATATGAAGGTATTAATTTTTTTTCCAAATACCCAAAAACATGAAGAAATACATTATAGAGTGAAAAAAATAGTTTATAAAAAATTCATATATAATTTGATTTAAATTTTGTCTTTAAAAATTCACTTAGGAAAAAATGAAAAATAAACCTATAATAATGATTTCTGGTAGAGTGATTGAAGATGAAAACTTTTCTGTTTACATGTTTATTGTATCAAAAGCATCACTAGGTTTTTTTTAATGCTTTGGGAGAGTAATATTTTTCCAAGGCATTTAGGAAATTTCCAGCTGTTGGTATGGACAAGCATGTACTTGGTTTTGTTTATTTTCATACTAGTGGAATTACTGGATCAGAGAGCTTTGGGCATTTAAAGTCTTGTACACATTTTACTCAATTAAATTGCCTTCCATGAGGATTTTAAGTGTGGTATATTTTAAAATTTATTTTCCATATTTCAGTTCTGCATCACAGTATGATACTATCAGACTTTGAATAATATATTGTTTTTACTAATTTCCAGTTATATACACCCAGTCATATGCATCTAAATTTTTTTAATATAAGGAAATTATCACACATTCTGAAAATTATTTTCCAAAGGTAAATTGAATTTTTAATGTCTTTTTTCAGGATCCAGTGAAAGATGGTGAAGCAAAGATCAAGGGTGACTATGCACAACTTCTTGAAGATATGCAGAATGCATTCCGAAGCTTGGAAGATTAGAATTGTGATTCCTTTCCTCCTATTCCTCAGCAAGCTCATATGTGTATATTTTCTTGAATTTCTCATCTCAAACCCTTTGCTTCTTTATTGTGCAGCTTTGAGACTAGTGCCTATGTGTGTTTTCTTTTGTTTTGCTGTTTATTTGGTAGGTCTTATACAAAACATTCCTTTCCTCCAGTGTTTGAAGGGCCTCCCTGATACTTTATCTGAAGTGGTGAATGTAGTAAATATGATATACAATGGCTACACTACTGTAAACCTGTATGTAGGATGAACTCCCTCCTTGTACTAGGTTTGCCCATTCCTCATCTCCATTAAATTGTAAACAGGACTTACTGCATATACTCTCTTTGAGTAGATTTAGATTGAAAGGCCATATTTTTAAACCTTTTGACAGGTACTTTGTGAAATGACTTACTATCTATGTGGTCCACTTGCAGCTTAGCATTTTGCTAAGTAACTACTTTGCAGGAAATGTTTTACTTTTAAAAAACTTTGATGGTTAATGTTCCAATTATGCATTTCTTTCCCAGTATAAATCAGGAATATTTATGGGAAGCTATTGGGAACTACATTGTTTTAAAAAAGATATTCATGGAGCTCAGCATAATATATGAATCAGTACCCTCTCAAAGCATGAAAAAAAGACAGGTGATCAAACTTAGCTAACATCATCTTGTTAAACCATACTTTATTTCCCTAGGAAAAATTCAGTATCAAGGACTATTATATACTATATTAGATTACACTAAAACAATCATCGAAAATTTGATCTATATTACATACTTATTTTCCTCAAACATCTTGGAAGCCTAAGTTTTTAAGAATCATGTGGCAATGCGATGATCAGTAAAGTGCCACAGATAAGATACTTAGTAGTGGTTAAAGGCCGTTTGCCCCTTTAAGAACCAGCTGAGCTGTAGTGATTCTTGGGGCCAGAGTGACATTATGTTTTTACAAAGTAATAACATGTCACATGCTTGCATGTTTATTTGCTTGTTGAATTTTTGAACAACCAGTTTACCAATTGTAGAGAATATTGCTTTCGTGGGTTTTTTTTCTGATTTGGAGTTTCTCAGAATATCTATGGCCATAGTAGTGTGACAGTTTCCATTCTGTTTAATAGGGATGAAGTTAATTCTTTTATCTGCTGGTAACAGAATCTGAGTCACGTGAAAAAAAGATCATTTCATCCTATCTTTTAAGTATATGTCTAAAAATAATAAATCTCTGTGTTCGTATACTAAGGCACGCTGCAGAACAGCACTGAGAGCAAGTTTCCCATTTACTCTTTCTGACCAATAGAGGTGGCACCATTGCTTCCTTTTTGGGAAAAGGAAAGGGTGTACATGAGCATATCTGATGATTTGATACACAGTGTAATAGCACAAATAAAGTATTTATTTTATGCTTCAGTATGTTATTTAATTTTGTGATAATGCATTTCTTTTGGTCTATTAAAGAAAGATGTGTTCAGTAGTGAATTCAGGTATAGTTTTGTGTAAATCTATGAAGATTGCATATTTTCCAGTAGCCTGCTATTCAGGAAAGATATTCTTCCATAGAACTTTTTTTTTAACCCTTCAGAATATTGACAGATAAGAATTATGCAATGATTTGTTGAGATGTGGACTTAATGATGCTGCTTAATCAGTTTGCTTCCAATGTAGGAGACTTCCTACCCAGAGGTCCTAAGACTAGTGGAAATTAAAAGGATTTCAAAAACTTCTGTTAAATCTACCAGCAAGCTAGGATTGTGATCATAATGAATGATATGAAGAAACTAATTGACCAAGTATGTTTTCTGTTGTACTGAATTTGAAACATGCATTCTTCCTCCTTTTAAGAATGCTGATGTATGAATGTGAAGATGATTGAGAAACTATGCTCAGATATTCATTGTAAGTGTCCCTTCACATATATGTTGTAGAATTCCAAATCAGTCATTGATAGTATTTCTTTAGTAAGGCTGTGTTAAAATTACAGCAATCTTTTAAAAAGATTATGCAGTTCTATATTTATTGTGTTGTACCTCGTCCTAAGTGCAGCCAGTGAAACAAGTTTCATATGTATTTTTCCAGTGTTAAATCTCACACACTGTACCCTTTGGAAATTTCCGTCTATCCTAAAGAATGAATAGAAGAGGCCATATATATTGCCTTCTTATCCTTGAGATTTCACTATCTTTATGTTAAAAGTTATGTATAATTATTAAAATCTATGAAAGAATAAAATGGATTTAAATTATTTGTCTTCCCTTTTTGGGTAGCAGGAAAGCTGCTAGAAAACATGCCACCTTGTTGTATATGGGCTTAGTATTTTAGCACTTGTATATGGGCTTAGTATTTTAGCACGACCTTTTTAATTTTTTATTTATTTTCTTTATAGATTATTTAAGATCCTAAAACCAAATTGGGGCCATCACTGAAGTGATATCCTATCATTGTATCTTACAATGATTTAAAAATATAGCACATGGAATTTTATCCATTCTGATGGTACTTTAAATTGGAAACGTAAGTGGATTTCTGAAAATCGTAAATTAAAAGAGATCAGTCATACTTCAGTTTCAGGCAAGGGAACAAAGCCTTATAATTCATGCTTTTGCAAGCTGAATTATTTTAGATCCAATGTAGCAATGAACAACATTCATTGTGTAGTTATCCAATATGTTATCTAGGATATGCTTTTTTWAAAAATTTATTTATTTAGTAGTGAGGATTGAACTCAGGGACACTTGACTACTGAGCCCCATCTCCAGCCCTATTTTGTGACAGGGTCTCACCAAGTTGCTTTGCACCTGCTTTTGCTGAGTCTGTCTTTGAACTCGAAATTCTCCTGCCTCAGCCTCCAAGCCACTGGGATTACTACCATGTGCCATCATGCCCAGCTTAGGATATGTTTTAATTTTCCTTGAATGTTGTATTTCCAAAGGAGTGAAAAAGGGTGTAATGGACAACTTCATATTCCTACTGAGTGCCATGTTTATGTAGAGGAATACTTAGGAATTCACAGGAAGACTTCTTCCTTATAGAGTGGGTARTTTTTAGTCCCTTAGGTAATATCCCAATATCTTCCTCATATTAGTTTTAATGGTTTGCTATGCATAAGAGCATGAAGAAGAAAACTCACTTTTGAAGTCAGTGTGATAAAATGCTGTGGACATTGTTGTAATAGTTTGCATTTTCCTCAGAAGTTGACTCTGAGACAAGTATTTGAGTTTAGGTAGTTTATTTGGGAGATGATCCTAGGAAATACCAATAGGAGAGTAGAGAATTGGAAAGGATAAAAAGAAGCGATTATAAATATTCATTGTTAAACAAATTAATACTGTTGGACTATGGAACCCAATCCTGCTGCTGAATTCTGGGAGCAAATGAAGAACATGCATCTTAATTATTACACCTGTGGGTACTTTAGCCAATCATTGACGGCCAATTCCTATCAATTTTCCATTGCAAACTGTTCTTACAATGACAGGAAAAATAATGCCCAGCACATGCATACAGATAGATGAGGCCTAGTGGGCATACAAAATCCCCTGGGATATTAGGTTAGCATACACTGAATGATAACTCATAGCTGAAGAGAGAAAGGTGGAATATTACCAGCAACTCTTTCAGGCTTCTTAAGAACCCAGGAAAAAAAGAATTATTCAATCAGTAATTGAAAAGCTGTTCTGCAAAATAAGGAAACACCATTTTAAAGGATCAAGAAACTGGGAGAAAAGATGTGTTTTAAAGAGCAGAAAGTATACACACACGTGCTAATTATGGTGATGAATAGAAGTGGGTTTTAATGCTCCTGAAAGTAAACAGCTTCTTAAGTTAATGGGGATTTTGATCATTTTTTATAGCCCTTCCATTATAAAAAAGAGGAATTTGAAGTCCAGAGAAGTTAGTTGATTTGCTCAATGTCAAACACGGCTCTTTATATGAGAATTCAGTCTTTTGGTTTCCAGAGTCTGATTGCACTTAAATCATACTGTCTTTCCCTTCTGTCTGCACTTTTTATTCAGAACCAAGGAGTTGAGTTGAATAAAGATGAGAAAAATAAATTGGAAAAAAGTAAGTTAGAAAAATTACTGGCTACACAAGGTGGACATGGGTAGTACAGTAGAAGGACTCATTTACAATGTGATTCAGAAATTATTAACAATTGAGTCAGTTTAGAAGAATGAATGTAGAAGTAGATACATATGATTTTTACCAAATTACTATAGAAGTATTTAAAGAGAAAAAAACAACATGAACAATAAATGTCTCAAGAATATAAAAAGAACTCCTTTAAGAAAAAAGAAAAACAGATCTTGAAAGATAAATAGATAAGACTTAGGCCACATTGTGTGAAAATGGTGCTCAGATTCTAGTCCTTAGGAAAATATAAGTTAATATAACATGATAACTTTCTTCATACACGCTAGAATGGCTGAATTGGAAAGAAAATACCAACTGTTGGTGAGTTTTTTGAGCAACTGAAACTTAAAAAAACATTTTTGGTGTGCGGCAGTCCTGCTGGGCCAAATCACCGGGGGTGACAAGCACTTGAAGGTTGAAACGGGAACTACTTTATTGCGAGTGAATTCAGCACAAACTGAGCAAGAACTCAAAAGTAGCGGGCACCCAAGGTAGCAGGAGCCGCTTCTCTGCGGGACAGCAGAGGTACATATACCCAACTAATTACACACAGCTTAACTCAATTAACATCATCTAGATACAGCAGTCAGTCAACAGGGAATCCTCATCATCTTAATGGCTCGCTGGCRTTACTTCACAAACCACTYCTCCTGGCAAACTACCAGGCGCCATTTTAACTTGATWTGCATCCCCAACATCTCYTCCCTTTTGTTTTATTAAACAACAAGTATGTGGCTTAGGGACCATGCCTGTTTTAGGTTTTCTAATACTACATATGGTCCTTACCCGTCATTGGATGGTCTGACCTCAAATCGTCAGCCTCCTGTCTTAGGTTGGTACCATTGTAATTGGATCTTACCCGTCTTTGACTACCGGCCCAACACACTTAGCCATACTTGTGGATAATGACCAAAGTGGTTTTTACACAAACACCATAAACAACCTGCCACAAGCAGAAGGGAGGAGGATACAAAATGCCATGATATCAAGCCATTGACTGCTCCAAGTGAGAAACCCCTGGAAAAACTGTACCACAGATGACACCTGGTACTAATTACAGTTTGTTATATCAGTTCTTAATGCATATAAGTGATACACAGTCCAGGTAAGTTTTGCAAGCAGCTTAAAGCAGAGGAATCCATTAATATGTCTATTTCTTCTTGAAGTAAATATTAATACAACAGTTTGTACAATTTGTGTGATAGCTGTCGCAGACGCTGTAGTAGCAGCAGCAGAAACAGCAACAGCAGCAGAAACAGCAACAGCTGTGATGATGGTAGCTGTAATTCCAAAGTCTCCTTTGGTTTTTCAGTAATACTGGAAATTCTTCTATTTTTGTCTTAAAGTAGGAATTCTGGCAATAATGGCTAAAGAAAATTGTGTAGCATTCCAGCAGGCACTAAGAAAACAATTTTCTGAACAATTTCGTACATTATTCTGAACAGAATTATTAGATACAATGAAAAGGAAAGGTGAAAGTAAACAAACAGATTTGTTAACCTTTTTTTGTTCACATATTAAAACAATACCCAATTTAAATTAAACTGTTTAAATCATGTGAATAAAAGATATTTGGATCCATTTTTTCATGAGCGCTCTTGATATATGGACATATGCACATACAGACATACAACACATAACACAAGTGTGCACACATAACACAATAGTAAAGGCCTYGTAGCTTTTCATAGGTGAAATCTCCATTGCAATGTTTAAAAACTCCACAGTTGATTAGAAAATAAAACTAATCAGAAAAACATTATCCCAGGTCTGGATGAGCTCAAAAACTAGAAAAAAAAAATAGAAAATTCTTCTTGTAACTTGCATATGGGTTTGAAGGTATTCCCACAAGTAAACCTCAAGGTTTTTTGCATTTGAAATAGGCCTTAATGGTGCTTATTATTCATTAGTCTCCAGGTGTGGGGGAACCATTGTCGAAAATGTAAGGATAACTAAACTGGAGTTCTGGATATCAGCTGTTATGGATTTTTCATCTTCTTTTTGGTCTGTAAATATCGCTTTAGTTAGTCTC